CTTTCTCAGTTCCCCAGACTTCCTCATCCCAGGCTTTCAACAATTTCCTCAAGATGATTCAGAGAGAAGGAGTTGTCAGAGAATGGTGCAGGCTTGCAGAAGTCCTCCTGCCTTTTTTAAAGGGAAGAAGCTGGTTGCTGCTTTAGCCTTGGCATGATCTGCAAGTCCTCACAGGTCAGGAATGACCTTAGAAACAAACAAAATGATTCTAGGGCTAAGGATGAGATGGTGGTGATGGTGGTGCAGGGGAAAGGAGAACCATATGTCTCACAGTGTGTGGTATGGTGCAAAATTTCTCCTCTCCTCCTCTCAGTCTCAATTTCTCTGCAAAAATGCAATAACCCCTGCCAAATATTTTGTAGTTCTTCCATGGGCCATGTGTGACACCTTTAGTCTGGCAGGATGAGGTAAATTGTGATATTTCCTCTTCTTTGAAAGCAATGTTACAGTAAACACAGCAGGTTCTTCAGTCTGATATACATATCTTAGCAACATCTGAGGAAGAAAGAAACTGTTAAAAGACCATCTTTTAACTAAACTAAACTAAAAAATACAAACTAAAAAACCAAACTAAAAAATACAGAAATGTCTTCATTTTGCACTTCCTTTTAACATCCTTTCATACTTTTAGAGACAGTAACAGCTCTGATAGTGAAACTGTTTATATATTTCCCCCTTTTGTTTCCTTGCAAACATATAGATAGGGAATAAAATAATGTTGGCTCCCAAGGATTTATCTGGGTTATTATGCCTTTATTTCATTCCTGCAATGACCAAGGTGAAGCACTCTGAGCAGTTCACAACAAAGCAGAAAAACAATAAAATACAATAAATGAAAACATTAAGAATTAAAATTAATTTAAAACATGAAAGCACATTAAAAGACAAGGTTGTTTTGCAGATGGATGCCATTGAGTTCAAGAGTGTTCACTTTCAGAAAAAGGAGTATTTTTCAATCACACTTCAACCCTTTATTTCTTAGGACAGAAATATTTATCTGAACTTTTTTATGTCACATTACTGCATTTCATTGAGTTGGATTCAGACTAAGTTAG